TTAGACCTAGATGTTACAAATACTTGAATGCTTTAAAAAGATGTATGATTATTAATCCACCAAGTTCTGCATTCACAAGAAGGACACCTAAAGCAAAGATTGATGTGCAAAATAAATTTTCTAGACGTGTGTGGGTAAGAAAATCTGATTTAAGGTGTCATGGGGCTTATACTTCTTTTAAAGTATGTTCTACTAACTCTGAGTATTATGGTAATGGTCACTTCAAGCTTTTGATAGGTGATAAACGCAATATGCATGGGAGAATACCATATTCAGGGGGAGTAAGACTCGTGGAGGATTCAGGGGGAGCGATTTGCAGAAATCAGTGAATTGGAACGTGATCTGCAGGAAAGTGTTGCACAAAGTGTTCCATTAGGTGTTACAACACCTTCTGCAACAGCAGTTTTATTTTGGCTTATTTTTGTCAAAAAGGGGGAGTAAGTAGTCTGTGATGTTTTAGTTCAGGCGGAATTTTTCTTGGAGACGATTTGCTTCTGACTTTACGAAAGTTATTATGTTTCAGTTTTGCCAAAACAATGCCAAAGGGGGAGATTGTTCGGATTTTGTTTCCCGAATTTTGTATTGATTGTTGGGTTTATTTCTCGAATTTTGTATTGATTCTATTCGTTGTGTGATTAGCATTATTTTGGGAATGATTGGCTGGTTAATTGTGGTTGAGATTAGATGTGCAGCTGGCAAGTTCTTTATGGAAGTTTTCCTGAAAGATCTGGAAACTTATCTTAGTTTCTATTTTTGAAAGTCAACTATTGATCCAAAGATGGTAGGTTGATTTGATTGATATTTGATGGAGATTTCGTAGCTGTATGATCTTCCTCTGTCTCCTAAGAACGTGTCCAGGTTCATATAATAATTTTGGGAAGGTTTCAGCAGAAAGTAGATTGATACGGACTGGTTTGGAAAAAGTCGACTATGACAGCTATGTTGCAGTTATTGTTGCAACAAGGATCTGCAACAAATTTGATTCAACGAATTATTTTGAAGAGATCCTCAAGCTGTTAACTTTTTGACTATTTATTCAAAGAGTCTCTCAGTTTATTGTACACCTTCTGATTAATTTTTGCTGTGTTGTGTGAGAGGTGATCACTTATATTCAAAAGAGATGATTTGAGTGTTTTTGAGAGAAAAAACTTAGTTGGAGGGATTCCAATGTTATAAAGTCGAGGGGATCTCGCTGTTCAAGTCCATTGGGAAATTACAAGTTCATAGGCGTCTTCTTATAGAATGAGTCTCGGGTAGATTAAGTCTAATTGAATTGTAAAAGAGTTCTTAGTGGATTGTTCATCATCTGGGCGTGGCCCCATGGAGTAGGTTGTGACTGAACCGCGATACTATTTCTCTCGTGTTGTTTTATTTTACGTCTCTGCATTATTTCTATTGTCTTACAAAGTATTAAAAGACTCAAACCGGTACTAATATTACTCCCGTCATATTATATATATTCAATTTACTTCCATCATATTAATCAGTAATCAACATTATTTATTTTAAAAAATAAAATAAATATTAAATTTTGATTTAGGATTAAGCGACCAAAATAATATTATTTTAGAACTAGAAGTAAATTATTTAAAGTGAATTAATATAAGTTAATTGGATGAAATAATTATAGTGATTTTGACTCAACAATTAAGATAATGCACACAAAAAAAGAAAAACATAAGTATACAAAATTAACCTAAATAAAGTAATTAAATATTAAATTATCGTGAGTGTATTATATCCAATGATTAATTTTAATTTCCCGTATTTTAGAAAGAATAGAACCAGCAAGAAATGGAGGAGTTATTAATCACTAGCAACAAAAAATAACTCCATGTTAAGCTGCTCGAGACCATGACAGTTGGATAACAAACATTAAAAGTCAAGTCCGAGAAACCGTGACTTTGACACGAGCAAAATTGTCGGCTACACGTTAATCTAACACACAGCCACCGACACAGGATCCCAACCGTCGGTAGATTTTGAAATGACAGAAATAACCTCGACCAGACCGACCAGCCTTCTAGATTCGCAACTTTTTTTGGTTTCCCCTTTGCAAAACTCCTGTACGTACAAATTACATGAACCTTTTTCCCTTGTCGTATGGCCCACAATGGCAAACCAAATTATTTAAAATTTGTTAAGTTGAATTTAAATTGCTATGTTTAATAAACACAATGAGAAAAGGTAGAATTTAGAAAAGCTTTATTTATTTTACTGATTTAAGTTTAGAATTTGAGTTTTATTACAGTAAAAAATTTTAATCACATTTAATTTTTTTTATTATAATAAAAAGTTCTCACATAAAATTACATTTCAACTCAAATCAGTAAACTAAACAAGACCTAAATGTTTGATTAGAGGAACACTAAAACAAAAGTCATGTGAGGTCGTCCTCTATTTTCTTCAACATGTCTGTCCCAGCTATTGACCAATTTTGGAGAAAGTAATTTGATCTTATTTAATATTTTTTACACAACGTGTATATATAGCTGTTTTTTCGAGATATGTCCATTCCGTTCATTACAACAAATAAAATAGAAAATTCATGGTAATAAATGAAAAAAGAAGTATAGAAACAAAACATTAAGATGACGTTTGGTATGTAGTAATGGGTAAAAATCGTATTATTGAGAAAGTGATAGAAGAGAATATGATTCTCAAAAAATTAGTATTAACACGTTTGGTTCTACATATGAATATTTTCTCATATTCCTGGGAATATTAATTTACGAGTTCACTGTCGCTCTTTCTCTCTCCTTTTAGTTTCAAACTCTAGGGTCCCTTCGGTTCGCTAATTCGAGTTGAAATGTGATGTTGTGTGAGAGCTTTTTACTGTAGCAAAAAAGTTAGATGTGACTGTTTCTGAGAGCTTTTTACTGTAGCAAAACTCAAATTCTAAACTTGAATCAGTAAAAAGAACGGGGCAGATCTTCAATCTCAAACTAAATATGGATGTCGCTCATTCCTCTCTCTGCTCTTTCTTTCTTTCTCTCTCCTTTCAATCTCAAACCAGTGGCACTTCACACAGCGTGAAAATGTTTTGACGATAAGCGACAGTGAAAATGCTTCACACGGCGTTGCAGAGGAGGGCAAGGGCTTCCCATGGCGTTGAAAACAGAGATCGTTGTTTGTGCATGGCTTTCCGACGAGAAGGCTGTACAAGCACAATTAGAGGTCGAGATAGGTGGCGCTTGCGATGGTGGGGGCTGGGACAGTGGGAGGCCCGCAATGGGTGCCATGACGGTGGGGGGCCCGCGACGATGAGGGCCTGCGGCGGTGGGCCTGTGATTGTGGCAGCTGCGATGTTGGGCCTGTGACGGTGGAGGCCTTTGAGATTTTCGGTGGTGAGAGGACAAACAGTAGTGCTTTTGATATTCCTGAGATTCCTGCGTTTAGTTATATTCTTGGGCATCTGAATATCAACCTATTGGGTGGTATTCAAATTACCCCAAATTGAGAGAATGTGAATCCCATGGTATTCACTTTTCTGGTAATCTAAAAATTAGAGTTCTTGTACCAAACGTGGTAATCTTACAGATTCTCATTCCCATCCCCAAGATTACTGCATACCAAATGCCCTCTAAAAGGTTGTTTGGTTCAACGATTTAAATTGTTAATTTAGTTTGAATTGTGGTGAATTGAATTGTGATTCCAATCAATATTTGCATATGCAAATAAATTGTAATTTAAATTAGGAATAAAATCCGAACTGTGTTTGAATTAAGTGTTGAAAATTGTCATAAGAGTTTTGTAACAAATCTTATAAAATCTCATTGTAAATGAAATCTAAAAATATGCAATATGGATGAAGATTTGTTTCTCTCTTCATTATGAACACATTAAAAAAATCATTTCAATCGGAATTAAAACGAAGAAGTTACGACATTTTTAAACTTGAAATTGAAGAAAGAAAAAAATAAAATCAGAATTGTTTTCACTGTAGAAAATAATTAGAATTGTTAGAATTTAGAAGGTGGTGAATTCTAAAATCAACAGTTTAAACCATTGTTAATGGTTTGAATTATCCTTGAATTTTTCTCTCCCAAACATCAATTTAAATTATAAACAACAGTTTCGGATTGTTGAAACAAACATAAGTTAAATCGTTAGATCATGTGAAAATCATATTACATATATTAATAAAATACAATATTTAACAAAATAGTTTTAATGAAAGAAATTTTTAGAAGTTAGAACTCCATCAATGGAGTGTGATTTTTTTTTTTTGAGGGAAAAAGTAGTGTGGTTTATTTTTTGAAATGTAAAAAAAAAAATTTCCAAATAAATAACTATATAAATATCTAAATAAATAAATAAATATTTACATGTTAAAAAGTAAAAATAAAATTCATCCAACAACTATTACTCTGACTTGCCTCTTAAAATATTAAAGTCATGTTTATTTTACCGATTCGAGTTTTACTACAGTAAAAAGCTCTCAGAAACAGTTATATCTAATTTGTTTACTACAATAAAAAATTCTTACATAAAATCACATCTTAACTCGAATTAAAAACTCAAATTAGTAAATTAAACATATCCTAAATAAGACGAATTCCTCAATTTCCATAAAGGAACCAACAATATCATTGATAAGAAAATACAAAACATTATGAACCGCATGGAACTCCTCGAGTTCTGTGCTTAGTAACAAAAACATAATCCATAAACCACAAAAAAAAAAATCAAGAGATAAAAAAGAATATGATTATTTTTTAGGACCTTTTCTGCTACGAAAATATATCATAAAATTTAAAAAATACACAGATCTAACGGTTAAAAAAAATTTGACCAATTGATACTTCATACGTACCAGAGAATCTCCTTTAATTTTTTTTAAGCATCGTCCAGTTCGTTGATTCAAATTTTTAATTTGAAATGAGATGTGATTTTATATGAGAACTTTTTACTGTGATAAAAAAAATTAAATATGACTTTTTATTATAATTTTTAGCTGTAACAAAATTAAAATTAAAAACTTATAAAATTAACGAGAACTTACTTTCTTTTCTATGCTTAATAATGTTTACGATAGTACAACCATTGTAGAAAAACTCAAGTATAGCAAACTGCTTCCACTAATTTTGCTTATAACACCATTGTAATTACTTTGCTTCGCCAATGGTATTACTTTACATGATTAAATTCCTCCTATAATACTCTAAACCTTCAAAAGAAAGAAAGAAAAGAAAAAAAGAAAGAAAAAAAAGGAATGGAATCGAAAGCTAGCTGGTCACCACCAATCAAGTAGACTAATAATAAATTCATTATTATTCTACTTTGTATAATATACGTATACCAAGAATCTCATTGGTGGAGACCAGACTGCTTACTGTGGTATTTGGACCACCAGATTAATTTATTACCAGAAATAGAAACCCAAACAAATAAAAATAAAAATAAAAATTAATTCTTCTTGCCCTCTTCACCGCCATCTTCCAAGTAAGCCTTCTTCCTCCTCTCCGCTCTAGCGCACAGACAAATCACAAAGAAACACGTGGCATATATCCCGTGGACCTTCCAATTAGTTTTCGGCGGCTGACGTAGCACGACTCTATGAAACACCGCCACGTAGTAATGAAGACCGACGGCGAAGCCCACGAAGGTCTGGGCCAGGCCCAGCATCTTAGAGCCCAGCCCACAGTCGGTGGAGAAGACAAGAATCAGGTACATGAGGAGCAGGAGAAGGTAGAGGACGTAGCCAAGCGTTTGGAGGACTTGGAGGCAGATGTACGTTGACTGCGAAGTAGCGTAGAAAAACTTGAGCGGCTCCAGTCCCGTGACGAGCGAGGACAAGCAGAGGATTGCGAAGTAGATGGAGAGATAAACTTGGATGAAGATGAGGAGCTTTTGGAGGGAGAAATAGGCCTTGATTCTGTTAAAGATAAGAGAGACTAAGAGTAGAGGGATTAGTATGAATGCGAACGAGACCAGGGAGGCTATGGTGGGCGCGTATTTGTTGCCGACGATTGGTTTGAATCCTTTCGTGATTTGCTTGTTGGCTTGGTTGAGGTATGCTTTAGATGTGGTAGAGATCTTTTCCAAGTCCGGGATCAGAGATTTTTGAAACTTCATGGGCAAATCTGAAAATTCCGACACCAAATCGGTTTCGTCCTCTAGATCAACCCAACTTGAGGCTTCTGATTTCATGGGTTTTTTCTCAGCTGATTTTTGGGCTTTTAAGTTTTGGGTTTTCTTGGTTGTTGTTGTTGTTGTGTTCTTGGGTGAGATGGGATCTAAGATTTTCTTGGTGGAGAGTTTTGTGGAGTTAAAGGTTTTTGATGATGACGTGGAATTTAGCTTCTTGATTTTGGAAGTGGAGTTGAGCTTCTTTAGCTCAATCTTGGTACTGCTAGCATTTGATGATAATAAGGTTGTTGTCTTGGTGGAATTGGTTTTTTTAGTGCTACTAATCTTGGTTTGGTTTTTGGTTGAAAGGTTTTGGGTTTTAAGTGGGTTGGTTTGGTTTTTAGAGGAGAGATTGGTTTTGATGAGTTTGGTTTGATTTTCTGAAGAAAGGGTATTGGAGATTTTCTTCTTAGGCTTAACAATTGGTTCTTCATCATCATTTTCCTCTACTCCCAACATTTTTCTTCTACCAACAAACCTTGAATTCTCCGAACAAGCACAAAGAAGAACCGAAGCCAAAAATAACAGAACCAAATAAAGCACAAGTACCTTTCTAAGTGGAGCCATTAATTTGGTGACGAAAAACGGATTTGCCCACCAAAAAGATCTGAATTATAGAGCTCTTTGAATTGGATCCAAAAGTGAGAAAGAAAAGAGTGAGAGTGAGAAGAAGCAAAAGGCGTTTTATAGGTGGCAGAGAAGTAGAATACTAGAATGTTATGGAGGAGAGTTGTATGAAATTATGAAGAGAAAGAATTAGAGGGTAGGCGAAGACTTTTAATGCCAAAGTAGGAGATGGGATCGATCAGTCATCACTTATCAGTCACATGGCGTGGCCAAGTGGGAAGTACAGAATTTCTCCAATACTATAACTTAACCCGACTTAAAAAAAAAAAAACAAAAAAAACAAAAAAAAAAAACAAAACAACAAACAAAAAGTCGAAAAAACTTGACCTTGACGCGTTTCAACAGTTTATGCTATCTTCTCTGCTAGCTTTCCTTGCTGGGATTATTGGTTTACTTTTCATTGGAGCAACAGAATTGTGGGCAACGTCGTAAGCCCGGTACTCGTAAAGTATGATAAGTACATTTTTTGTTTTTTTTTTTGTATTTCTGTGTGATATTATTTATAGGTGTGTAACATTCGACTTGTTTAAAAGTGGTACTTAATGCTAACATGTGTTAGAATATAATTTTTAGAACTGAGTCTTATTAACATAAATAAACGACGCTACACGAGAATACGGAAAAAATTATATTTATCAGACTTAAAAAACATTTTCAATAATTGAGTATATTAAACGGGGATTTTTTCATTTTGGTGAAATGAATGAGGACTTTCAGTACCTTGGTGTATCCTATTCATGGTGTTATTGAATTGTAACTATGTGGTTTAAATCAAACAGTGCACGTATAAGACCATCTCTAACCGAATTCTATTTGAGTGCTCGGAGGATTAATCTGGCGTAGGGGATTCTCCAACCCTGTGCCAGAGCTTTGCACCAGCTCTGACTACATGGAGCGCGAAATTGTTCACAGCGCTAGATGAGCTCTGATTTCTTTCTTTCTTTTTTTTCGCTTTTCCTTTTAATTAGTTTAAAGGCCAAATGTTTTTTAAAATTCTTATTTTATTCCCTAAGTTTATAATTTTGACTAAAATTTCTTTCATTTTGCCACCGAAGAAACAAAAACTACTCTTTTTCATCCCAGTTTTCAATTTTTATGATTTTGGTTAAATCAAATTTTTAGTTAAAATGAAGCAAAATTAATATGTACAATGCAAAAACTTAATTACATACATTCATAAAATAAAAAACAAACATTAATACATAAATGTATAAATAAACATAAACATAATATTATAAAAATAATATACTGAGAATATTTTTTTAGAGTAAAGTTACTTTATTTTAGAAATAAACTTTTCGAGTAAATGGGTTAAACTTTTCGGGTGAATGGGTTAGAGATAAATTTTTCAAGTGACGTAAAATTACTTTATTTTAGAGATAGAGTAACTCTAAAATAGAAAAATGGGTTAGAGATGGCATAAGTAGCTATAATTATATAGTTCAAAAACTTTTCTTGTAATATACATTCTAATAGAATAGATATTGTTCGATCTAAATTTTTTAGTGTTTAATAATATTCTAAGCACTATGAATTTTGGATCGCGTTGGGACACATGACTTCCTCGGCAAAATAATTGGACTTGTGTAGTAATAATACTTGAAAAGGTCAAACAGGTTTCAACAGAGAAAAAAGGGTGAAATGAAGGTTATCAGAAAATTTTTCTTAGAGTAAATGCTTTGCTTTTACATAAAAAAAAATTTTAACTTTTTTTTTTTTTTTCCCCTTAATCTAAGCAAATATCTTTAGTTCCCAAAGTAGAATGCCGCGTAATTATCATTTGATTCTCAGTAGATCTGCATGTCACATCCACGAAATAGCTATTGAAAAAATAATGATTTGATGAGGTGGAATAAATTTCTTTTCTTTAAGTGAAGAACTAGTTTCTTTGGTCCAATTAATGATATGTTTGTTTATTTTTGGAATTGACTCTGATTATTTTTTCCCCTTTTTTACAATATTATATTTTTCTAATATTTTTTATTATATTTGGAAAAGAAATCTAAAATGTGAAAACTATAATCATCTACATAATAAATCCATCGTTACATGCTCGCCTGTCGAAAAACTCTCAACTACTAGTTGATCGCCGTTTAGCTGAAGCTCTGGTGCCAGATAACTGGCGTGTTTTGCGTTAGAGTGATTTTTTAATTATTTGTAAGGGGTTTTTGCACTTTTGTCTCCAAAATATATAT